GGCTGAGTCCCGCTAGCTTCCCCAGGGTCCTAATTCCCCTGTCTCCTGTTATCTTTGACAGGCAGCCAGGAACAGAAATATTAATTTTCTAAATTTTTTAGGGGTCCCTCGGGCCAGATGGAATGGGCTGGTGGGCTGGATCTGGCCCACTGGCTGTATTTTGCCTACCCCTGCTCTACATTCAAGCTGGTTGGGGAAGCCTTTTTGGTTAAGAAACCTGTGAAGGGCTCCAAGCAGATCAGTGGTGTCAGAATTTAAGTGATTTTATGGATACCTCCTGCATTATCAGTAGAAAACCAGGCTTCTAGGAATTTTAGGTACCTGCAAAGTAGCTGGCAGCTGAGCAGGGATCTGAGTGTCATCTCTATGTCAATCTAGCTTGTGGAGCCATGTACTCCTTAATGCTAACTCTGACAAGGATAACTATCTTTCAAAACTGCTGAGCCCACTTAGGCCACATTTATTCATTTAATTTTGAAAAATCCAGCTAAGCATGAAAAATATTAAGTCAAACTTATTTTTGACCAACTTATAAAGAACTTAGAATCAGATTATGAGATGTGTCAGACAACATGAATTATAAACATTTCTACCTGTACCCCATACTATTTGTCTTATAAATACTATGGGGATGGTGGGGGGCAGGAGAAAATCGTACCTCACATGTGAATTACTGTTTACCTACTTTGTTTCCCTGTCAGGTTTTAAAACACAGCTATAATGTACATTTGGCAGGACCTTACTATGCAAACCTGAAACGGCTTAGTGATGGTTTATGAACAATTTCTCTTTGCAGATGACAGGTCCCAAAGCTATTTCAACAATAGCACTTCAAGGGCTTTTGCTCCATCTGTTGTGGCAAATAGATACTCTATCCTGAAGATGCCAAAAATAGAAACATTTTATCTGCTGCTTGAGTTCCCATCATCCCTTAACTCCCTCAGTAAACATAATTATCATCTCAGAGCAAATGAGAATGCACCACAAAGTGATCCGATTCACAAATTTACAGAAGCCTCTAGTTTTATCACCATTATTTAAAACAAGAAATTGCACAAGGCCTGGTTTTTTTGCTACATAGCTTCATCTATTTTTGTCCCTTCATTGCCTACCAGTAACTAGAGCCTAATCCAGTGTGCACTTGTGATGGTGATGAAATTCCCATTGACTTGAAGGTTACGAGCAGACCCTGTAGTGAGACCGTTTGATCAATTGCTTTTGCTTAAATTTTTTAACACCCCTCTCACAAACATTAAAATAATTGGAAATAACCAGCCAACCGTTGTGGAGTATGAACTCCCAAGAATCTAATCTTCACTGGGCATGTCTACACAAGGTGTTTAGTGTACAGTAGATTAATTAGCTGTGCAGTATATGTCATAGCATCTATATGTACACCCCTGGTAGGACAGAGTAAACTAGTTTTCTTGGCAGCAGGGTAGCACTGGTAAATAAAAGTACTATCCTGCTGCAGAGTAAATAACTCCACAGCAGTGCATGTGTAAGCTCTGCCCTGGCTGGCTGGGGTATGAGGGTGCTTCAATGCAGGGGCTGCCTGCCGGCCGACTCCAGCCATCTCCTCTGCAGCACATTGAGCAAGAGGGAGCAGCCCCAAGCTGGTAGGCCAACTCCCTGGACCCACTGTCAGCTGGGGATGCTTTGACTTGGTTCAACATGCTGCATTCTCCAGTGCATATTCGAAAGGTGCACCCAGGAGCAATAAACTCTAAAGCAATAACTCCAGAGTTTATTGCTTTGCATTAATTGCACATGTAGATGTACCCACTATTCATTTAATATTTTTTCTGGTCCTTCTGTGAGCTAAGCCATCTTATTTCTCAAAATACCCATAGTCCATTTATGAATTAGGTACTGGCCTTGATAAACAGCTAATGCTTTTCCAAATGACATTTGATAATG